CGGCCCTTGAACGATGACACAGCCTTATATTTGGCATCGGCCAGCTCAAAATGCAGTCAAAACGGTTCGAGATATGACGGTGGTCCCTGAAACTTTTATACGCGGTCTCCGTAGCCGCAGAAACAGTTAGACTAAATCTGCTGACCCACTGACACTGGTAACGGCGAATGAGCAGGTAGTTGAGCTAATAGTTGATGCAAGTACAGATCCAGCATTTTGAAAAATAAGTTGGTGCATAGACAAGTTAGATAGTTCTCTTGTAGAGAGCCTAAGATTATGGTGTTAGATCTCTTTTTGAGTGTAGAAATCATGCTGGAGGTCAAATAAGCGCGATAAGATGATGCAACTTTCAATGAAACTACACAAGCTACAACCGACAGTGACGATTCTGGTCGTAGAAAGCGGCTAAGACGTAATATTTCTGCGAAGTTTAGCATTAAAGATGTCACAAACATAATAGAAAATAAAATAAAGTGTAAGACGAAGGTTACGCCCAAGAATTCTGCATTTGGAAGTTTTGGGTTCTATTTTAGACAGACGACAGCTTAGGCAGAAAACACTGCCGCCATGGGAGACTGGAATGGCCACTTCTGTGAGTGTTCGATTATTGTCCATCAACGAATGCAAATATTCCGGATCTAAACTGGCAAAAACGTCCCGTGGCACCATAGTTAGAGCGCCGGATTCCTGATCAACAGGTCGCGAAGTCTAGCCTGGCGGACCACCTAGGGTTAGTTATGACTGGCTTATGGCTATTTCAGGCTTTCTTGGCTTTATCGGCAATGTTCTTCTGTCTGCGATACTAGCCGTTGTGAGGCTGGTGGGGGGAGAAACACTGCAGATCCGTCTTCGTCGCGTTCCCACCCGCCCTCACGGCGATCAAGATCTGCTACACCAATCTCCTTATCGTTGAACTATCTCCCCTCTTCTGCATCTCTGTTATTCATGACGGAGCAGCCCCTTCCGACCACGCTGCTCCTCCTCGCCGCCGGGATTGAGGC